TGCAAAAAATGTGTGCACGGGAGCTGTGCAAATTACAAACTAATATATATATATATATATATGCATGAACTAGTATATACATATATACAAATAGATAGCTATCAATTAATATATATGCAAATTGACATACATATATACATATAAGTATATACCTGTAAATTAATACATATATATATATATTAGTTCGTATATACATATAATATATATATATATATGTATATATATTAAGTAAATATATATACACAAATAAAAAATGGTGTGTACTCGTTAAAAAAATAAAGTTATATGTTTATACATTTCCTATGTATATACAAATGCACATAATTTTATGTATTTAAAGGAACAAAGATAATGAATAAACAAAAAGAAACACAGTAACACCAACACTGGCAGAGGCCACGTAGCAACTGCTGCGGCACCTGCTGGTTCAGCACGTGCTTTTGCTGCTGCAGTCGCTGCTGCAGCTGGTGGTGCAGCAACAGCAGCAGCAGCAGCTGCTGCTGCAACTGCTGCTGCACCTGTGTTGTTGTTGCTGGTGCTCCTATTGCTGTTAGGTGTGCTGTTGGTGGTGCTGCTGCATTAGCATTTGCTGCTGCTGCTGTAGCTGTTTCTGCTGTTGCTGCTGCAGCTTCTGCTGCTGCTGTTGGTTTTGCTGGGGATGGCGTTGCATTTGTTCATCCGTTTGCATGCTGTCGTTTTCTTCGCTCGTGAACTGCAACATTTCTTTGTTTAGCTGCTGCAGCTGCTGCTGCTGCAGCTGCAGCAGTGCGGAGAGATCCAACAGCAGCGACTGCAGCAGCAGATACTCCTGGCCACTGACACGGGAAGCTCTTTCGTATATTCTGCAGCATTTAAATAAGTCATCAAGCGGCAGCAGCCGCAAACGCTGCAGCGACAGCGAGCTGTCCGTACACCCTAAGTCTGGTGCTGCTGCTGCTGCTGCTGCTCCAGCAGAAGGCTGCCAGGTGCCACTCGGAGTCCTCTGCCTCTTTGCTGAGCTGTCTCCTGGTGCTGCTGCTGCTGTTGCTGACTCTGCTGCATCTGCTGCCGTTGCTGCTGCATCTGCTGATGAAGCGAGAGCGACAGAACTTTCTCCGCCTGACTCTGCCATTGCTGCTGCTGCTGCTGTTGGTTTTGCTGGTGCAGGTGCAGCAGCAGCAGCCGCAGCATAATTATTCCAAACACCCGCGAAGACAGAATGTGCGAAGGCCAACGCCTAAAAATACAATAAAATACAATAAAACAAAATAAAATGTTTATCTATATATAGAATATATATAATATATGTAGGATTTATACTACACGTATAATATGTTTTACACATTATATATGATATATATTGCACATATTAGACATACTGTTTATACTATGCTTATCATGCTTATTTTTATATCACATATATATATATATATTATGTAAAAAACATATACTACATTATATTTACCATATTTACATTATATTTATAAATGAGTGAAAAGAGATAGATATAACAGTCCACAGGCAAGTGGGAGGAGAGGCGACAAAACAAAACAAAGCAAAATAAAAAAAAGGCACAAAAGCAAACAACACAAAGACAAATGCAGCAAATAAAGAAACTAACTCTATAAACAAATAAAGGCAAAAGGATAAACAAATGATGTAAATAATAACGTAAACAAACAAAACAAAAACAGACAAAAATAAACAAAACAACAACAGACGAACAAGCAGCCCACAGAAAAAACAAAAAGCAGCAAATTACATAATAGAATTAATTGAAGTCCCTATAGTTAACGATAGTTGTTCATAATAATACCATATAACATTAACATAATATAATATCGTATGCAATAAACGAAGAGTAAAATGTAGTATGATACAGAATATAACACAACACAGTACGACACATCACAATATACTATTACTATGATATAAAATAAAATAAACAAAACAAAAAGACGTACGATCTCCCCTGAGGGCATCTCCAGGAGACACCTCAACGCAGGAAGCTGCAGCAGCGAGAGCCATGCTGCTGCTGCTGCAGCAGCAGGAGCAGCAGGTTTGTGTCTCTCGCTGCACCAGAGCCGCTCCGGTGCTTCTATCTGCTGCAGCAGCGGCTGCAGCTGCTGCTGGTGCTGCTGCAGCAACTCCCTCTTAAATACGCCCCATTGCCGCCAAATGCCTATACACCGCAGCACCTTAGAGCGAACTTCACTCATCTCGACTGCACTCAGCTGCAACAAAACAAAGCAACACAAAACAAAGTGCAAAGGGTTTAGGGTTTAGCTCGCTTCATGCTTTACTAGGGTTTAGGGTTCGCGTTCTTTTACGGTTGTGGGCTTCGGCCTTATAAAGCAAAAGGAAGAAAGCAAATGCGATACATATGTAGAGACATGCAAGTGACTCTAAATGCAGCAGCAACAGCAACAGTAGCAGCAGCACCACCACCACCGCCACAAACGGCAGCAACAGCAACAGTAGCAGGCGCAGCAGCACCACGGAGAGCAGCAAGCAGAAGCAGCTGCAGCAACAACAGCAAAAACAGCATCAGCAAGAGCAACAGCGCCAGCAGCAGTACCACCAACGCTACCAGGCAGCAAAAACAGCAGCAACAACAGTACCAGCAGCACTACCAACGACAGTAGCGCAACCACCAACAGCAGCAACAGCAGCAGCAGCAGCAGCAACCGCACCAGCACCACCACCAACACCAGCACTACCAACAGCAGCAGCGCCACCACCACCACTACCAGCAGAATATATATATATATACATATATATATATAATCACCTCTTGTAGCGCAGGAACAACAAAAATAGAAAAGCCAACGTCTTCCAAGCTGCCGGGGTGTACAGACTCCTCAGGATGTCTGGCTGCAGCAACAGAAAGTTGTATGATTCTATGAAATACATAAAAGACAGCAAGCCGTTGCTTTGGAGTTCCTTTCCTATATATTTGCAGCATTATATAAGCAATAGAGAGAGGCAAGGCCCCTGCTGCTGCTGCTGCTGCTGCTGCTGCAGCTGCTGCTGCTTCGCGTGCGTGCAAGCGCAAAGCTTCAGGGGATAAACAAGGAAAACCAGATGATGCACCACCTGCTGCTGCTGCTGCTGCTGTTGTTGCTGCTGCTGCTGCAGCTTCCCGAGATGCTGCTGCTGCTGCACGCGTTGCCGCTGCTGCTGCTGCTGCCGCAACATGCGGCGGAGGCACTGCAGCAGCAAAACGAAATATAAAATTCGCCGCTGTCTCCACAGAGGCCTGAAAAAAGACAAGCAATTTATTTACTGGTATATTGGTTATTTGTTTTTTAGCTATTTATATATTTATTTCACATATATTTATATATTTATGTATGCATATATTTTTATTCATTTATTTATTTAATTGCGTAAGTTTACTTAATCTGCCTATTTGTTTAATACTACTATTATTATTATTTTGTTCGTTTGTTTGTTGCCCTACTCGTTTGTTTGCTTGTATGATGCCCTTATTAACTGCTTACTATTAATATAATTAAAAATGCTTCATTTGTCTATTAGTGGCAGTATCCTTATCATTAATTGCATTTGTTTATGCAGTAAATGCACTCTTCTCTTGGTGGTTTATTTCTCGGGTATGTTCGTGCGGAGCAAATAAACAGTTACATAAACAGAAACAAATAAAATATTTTATATTATATATATAAGTATAAATCGATTATTGTAGCACACACCTGCCGGCTGTCTACTGACGAGAGAACTGCAGCAATTCGTTCGGTGGAGAAGGCAGCAACCAAAGCAGAAAGCTGTTGCTGCTGCTGCTGTTGCTGCTGCAGGTGTTGCTGCTGTTGGTGCTGGTGTTCCTGCTGCTGCATCGGGTGCTGCAGCGGCTTCTGCTGAACTTGCAAGGCATCACCGGTAAACCCCCCGCCTTTTCCTGTAGTTGCTGCTGCTGCTGCTGTTGTTGCAGCTGCAGCAGAGTAGGTACACGACAGAGGCTTCTGTTTGTCTCCCTTTTCTAAAGAATGTAAGGGAAGCCCCCCGCCTTCTGCTGCATGTGTCCCTGCCTGCTGCAGTGCTGCTGCTTCCGCACGCGAACTGTCATTCTGCTGCTGCTGCTGCTGCTGCTGCTGAACAGGCGAAGCAGCAGCAGCAGCAGAAACGGAGTTGGGCAGAAGCAGTAGCGGCTCGTGGTGCCCCCATGGAGGAGCAGCAGCTGCAGGAGAAGTAGCTGCTGCTGCCGCTGTTGCTGGTGTTGCTACCGGTGCTACCTGTGCTGAAGCTTGTGCTGCTGGAGTCTGTTCATTTTCTCCGTAGCTATGAAGCCTCTCTTCTGTGAGGGGAAGTGGAGGTGCACTGAGTGCAGCAGCAGCAGCAGCAACAGCAGCAAAAGCGGGAGCAGGGCAAGGAGGAGCAGCAAACGCAGCAGCAGCAGGAGCAGCCGACAAAGGAGGAGGAGGGGGGGCCTCAACTGGCTCTTCTCCAGCCTCTCCGTCTTCAGAAATAGGCGAAAAACCAGGAGAAGACATCACAAGAAGTGCAGCTAAAAGAATCTCGGCCAAGTTGAGGTGTATGTACACCTCAGCGCGCTGAACGAAGTAAGAGATGCATGCAATGAAGCAGATCACCTGTTGTTTCCTCGCTCGCAATTAAAACTTCTTTTTCTTTTCCTTTTAAAACAATTTATCTTAAATAAATAGACATATTATTCATCTTCCGATGGGGCTGGGAATGCATGCAATTAACGCGCACAGGGGTTTCTTGCAAGTTCCTCCTGCGATTAGTGAAGAGACACATATACTAATATATAATTGCATATTTGCAAATTTTAAATATAATTAAACATGTTTTAATGCCTTCAAATCTATTTTAACGCCCTTTCTGTTTAAAAGCAGTAAAAACAAAACAAAAGGAGAAAACCGCAAGAATGTACAACATCCGCATTTTTTTCTCGTTGCCTGCAGTAAGAAGACAGAACTGAAGCCGCTGTTTTCTTTCTCTTACTCATTTCTAATGCATTTCGTCCTAATTAAATAAATCCTACTTAATTAAAGACAATCAGAGTTTCAGATCTATATATGTATATTATATAGTTTTTACAGTTTTATAGTTATAGCTCGCCGCAGCTGTGCATACACCGCAAGGATGTGTGTACGGCTGTTCTCTTCTGTTGCGTTGCAGTCCTTCTGATTTTGTCGTTTGTTTTGTTAGTCCGTTTATTATGTTGCTGCGTTTCGTGTTTGCACTGGCGCTTCATCTGCACTTAATTGCCAGCCTTCCGTTGTCTTTTTATCTGCCACCGCTATATCTTACAATTTTTCTATTTGTGTTTATTACTTCTTTCTCTCCTTTTATTCATTTTATTCCTTTCTTCTTCTTTTCGTTCGTCTATATCCTAAGCAGGACCAGTAAGTAGCAGCTGCCGGTGTGTATAAAATTGCATGCAGGCGGTGGGGGAGTTATTAATACTTAAATAAACGAATTTCTTTACCTGAATATTCAAATATCACATCATATAAAATGTTAATAAGAGGTTTTTATAATATGTTAATATTATAAATTATTTATGTTTTTGAATACTTCGTAATTTCCTACAGATTCATCGTTCATACAGAAGTGAGACGCAGCAGCGGCTGACCTGCAGCAGCCTCTGTTTCTGCTGCAGGCAAATCCTTTTTCTGCTGTTGTTGCTGCTGCTGCTGTTGCTGCTGTTGCTGTTGCTCTATTGCTGTTACTGTTCCGGCTGCTGTTGTTACTGCTGCTGTTGTTACTGCTGCTGTTGTTGCTGCTGCCGTTGCTGCTGATGCTGCAGCTGCTGCTATTGCCGATGTTGTTGTCGCTACTGTTACTGCTACAGCTGCTGCTGTTACTGCTACTGTTGTTGCTGTTGCTGTTGTTGCTGTTGTTGCCGCTGCGGATGCTGTTGCTGCTATAGCTGCTGTTGTTGCTGCTGCTGTTGCTACTGCTGCTGTTGCTACTGCTGCTCTTGCTGCCGCTATTTGGTGCAGCAGCGGAAGGAATCCTCTTTCCTCTACAGCAGCAGCAGCGGCAGTAGCAGGTCGGGTGTTGAGAAAGTATACAGCTGCCCCGTTGTTGCTGTTTTTATATTTCGGTCATGTTTCTTTCTTTTGTTTGTGCACCTCCCCGTACACATTAATGCATGCCGTCTCCATATAATCTATATATATATATATATATATATTATATGTAATACATATTATATATACATTATATATGCTGCATGCATTATATTTATAATGGACAATTTGTATTTTACATACTTTATATATATAATACAGGAAGTGTATGCATCAGCAAGATGCTGCTGTCTTCTTATTTTATATTCTCGTTTTATTTTTCTGTGTCTTGTTTGCTCATTTTCGTTTGCTGTCGCCGTTCTTAAAAATACATATGCTGAAATAAAAATAATAGAGACAATACACACAAGCATATACAGCTACACCTGCTACTGTTGCTGCTGCAACTGCTGCTACAGGTGCTGCACCTGTTACTGCAGGTGCTGCTGCTGCAGCCGCTGCTGCTGCTGCTCCTGCAGGTCGTTTTCGTATTGGTTTGTCAATAAATATATACATATGAAGATATATATGTAAATTCACGCATATATATATATATATTGATAAGCAAATATATATATATATA